GAAGCACCAGGTGAAGCACCAAGTGAACCAGGTGAAGCACCAAGTGAACCAGGAAGCACCAAGTGAACCAGGAAGCACCAGGTGAAGCACCAAGTGAACCAGGTGAAGCACCAAGTGAACCACGTGAAGCACCAAGTGAACCAGGAAGCACCAAGTGAACCAGGAAGCACCAGGTGAAGCACCAATTGAACCAGGTGAAGCACCAATTGAACCAGGAAGCACCAAGTGAACCAGGAAGCACCAGGTGAAGCACCAAGTGAACCAGGTGAAGCACCAAGTGAACCAGGTGAAGCACCAAGTGAACCAGGAAGCACCAGGTGAACCAGGAAGCACCAAGTGAACCAGGAAGCACCAAGTGAACCAGGAAGCACCAGGTGAAGCACCAAGTGAACCAGGTGAAGCACCAAGTGAACCAGGAAGCACCAAGTGAACCAGGAAGCACCAGGTGAAGCACCAAGTGAACCAGGTGAAGCACCAAGTGAACCAGGTGAAGCACCAAGTGAACCAGGAAGCACCAAGTGAACGAGGAAGCACCAGGTGAAGCACCAAGTGAACCAGGTGAAGCACCAAGTGAACCAGGAAGCACCAAGTGAACCAGGAAGCACCAGGTGAAGCACCAAGTGAACCAGGTGAAGCACCAAGTGAACCAGGTGAAGCACCAAGTGAACCAGGAAGCACCAAGTGAACCAGGAAGCACCAGGTGAAGCACCAAGTGAACCAGGTGAAGCACAAGTGAACCAGGGAGCACCAAGTGAACCAGGAAGCACCAGGTGAAGCACCAAGTGAACCAGGTGAAGCACCAAGTGAACCAGGAAGCACCAGGTGAAGCACCAAGTGAACCAAGTGAAGCACCAAGTGAACCAGGTGAAGCACCAAGTGAACCAGGAAGCACCAAGTGAACCAGGAAGCACCAGGTGAAGCACCAAGTGAACCAGGTGAAGCACCAAGTGAACCAGGAAGCACCAAGTGAACCAGGAAGCACCAAGTGAACCAGGAAGCACCAAGTGAACCAGGAAGCACCAAGTGAACCAGGAAGCACCAAGTGAACCAGGAAGCACCAGGAGTGGATCACTGGGTTAATCCCTCACAGCTCACAGTGGGAGCAATCATAAATCCCCGTTAATCCCCGTTAATCTCCCAGGTATCCCTCAGAAGGAATATAAATCCTCCATCAACCTCGGCTCGACCTGAGGTCCTCTTCAGTGGGTTAGTGAGGCTTAGTTTACTCCCTTTTTATAAACATAACGATGGGCTCTTGATCCGAGGTACGGGAGGTTGCTTCCCTTTCCTGGGATCGACTCCTGATCGTGTGGGTTCCTAGATGTTGAAGGGCTCTTGATCCAAGGAATTGAAGCTGCTCTCCCCTTCCAAGGATCGAATATTATTGCCTTCCATTACCATAATAATAATTAATAATGATAATTAATATTAATAATACTAATAATAATAATTAATAATGATAATTAATAATAATAATAATAATAATAATAATAATAATAATAATTAATAATGATAATTAATAATAATACTACTACTAATAATAATAAATAATATTAATTAATAATAATTAATATTAATAATACTACTAATAATAAAAATTATTAATTATAATAATTAATAATAATAATAATAAAAAAATAATAATAATAATTAATATTAATGATAATAAAAAATAATAATTAATATTAATAATAATTAATAACAGTAATTAATAATTATAAATTTATAATAATAATTATTATATTTCAATAATAATAACTTAAGACAAAAATGTTAATTAATAAAAATACAATAATTTTCTCTATGTTTTATTACACATTTTATTAATATAAATAAATACAAATTTTTGGTAAGAAAGAAAATTATGTAGATTATTATATGTAAATTATTATATGTAAATTATTATATGTAGATTGTTATATGTAGATTATTATATGTAGATTGTTATATGTAGATTATTATATGTAGATTATTATATGTAGATTATTATATGTAAATTATTATATGTAGATTGTTATATGTAGATTATTATATGTAGATTGTTATATGTAGATTATTATATGTAGATTATTATATGTAGATTATTATATGTAATTATTATATGTAGATTGTTATATGTAGATTATTATATGTAGATTGTTATATGTAGATTATTATATGTAGATTATTATATGTAGATTATTATATGTAAATTATTATATGTAGATTGTTATATGTAGATTATTATATGTAGATTGTTATATGTAGATTATTATATGTAGATTATTATATGTAGATTATTATATGTAGATTATTATATGTAGATTGTTATATGTAGATTATTATATGTAAATTATTATATGTAAATTATTATATGTAAATTATTATATGTAGATTGTTATATGTAAATTATTATATGTAGATTGTTATATGTAGTTTGTTATATGTAGATTGTTATATGTAGTTTGTTATATGTAGTTTGTTATATGTAGATTGTTATATGTAGATTGTTATATGTAGTTTGTTATATGTAGTTTGTTATATGTAGATTGTTATATGTAGATTGTTATATGTAGTTTGTTATATGTAGTTTGTTATATGTAGATTGTTATATGTAGTTTGTTATATGTAGTTTGTTATATGTAGTTTGTTATATGTAGTTTGTTATATGTAGTTTGTTATATGTAGTTTGTTATATGTAATTGTTATATGTAGATTGTTATATGTAGTTTGTTATATGTAGTTTGTTATATGTAGATTGTTATTTTGTAGTTTGTTATATGTAGTTTGTTATATGTAGTTTGTTATATGTAGTTTTTTTATATGTAGTTTGTTATATGTAGTTTGTTATATGTAGTTGTTATATGTAGTTTGTTATATGTAGTTTGTTATATGTAGATTGTTATATGTAGTTTGTTATATGTAGTTTGTTATATGTAGTTTGTTATATGTAGTTTGTTATATGTAGATTGTTATATGTAGTTTGTTATATGTAGTTTGTTTATATGTAGATTGTTATATGTAGTTTGTTATATGTAGTTTGTTATATGTAGTTTGTTATATGTAGTTTGTTATATGTAGTTTGTTATATGTAGATTGTTATATGTAGTTTGTTATATGTAGTTTGTTATATGTAGTTTGTTATATGTAGTTTGTTATATGTAGTTTGTTATATGTAGTTTTGTTATATGTAGTTTGTTATATGTATTTGTTATATGTAGATTGTTATATGTAGATTGTTATATGAAGTTTGTTTATATGTAGTTTGTTATATGTAGTTTGTTATATGTAGTTTGTTATATGTAGTTTGTTATATGTAGTTTGTTATATGTAGTTTGTTATATGTAGTTTGTTATATGTAGTTTGTTATATGTAGTTTTGTTATATGTAGTTTGTTATATGTAGTTTGTTATATGTAGTTTGTTATATGTAGATTGTTATATGTAGTTTGTTATATGTAGATTGTTATATGTAGTTTGTTATATGTAGTTTGTTATATGTAGATTGTTATATGTAGTTTGTTATATGTAGTTTGTTATATGTAGTTTGTTATAGTAGTTTGTTATATGTAGATTGTTATATGTAGTTTGTTATATGTAGATTGTTATATGTAGTTTGTTATATGTAGTTTGTTATATGTAGATTGTTATATGTAGTTTGTTATATGTAGTTTGTTATATGTAGTTTGTTATATGTAGTTTGTTATATGTAGTTTGTTATATGTAGTTTGTTATATGTAGTTTGTATATGTAGTTTGTTATATGTAGATTGTTATATGTAGATTGTTATATGTAGTTTGTTATATGTAGTTTGTTATATGTAGTTTGTTATATGTAGTTTGTTATATGTAGTTTGTTATATGTAGTTTGTTATATGTAGTTTGTTATATGTAGTTTGTTATATGTAGTTTGTTATATGTAGTTTGTTATATGTAGTTTGTTATATGTAGTTTGTTATATGTAGTTTTTTTATATGTAGATTGTTATATGTAGATTGTTATATGTAGATTGTTATATGTAGATTGTTATATGTAGTTTGTTATATGTAGTTTGTTATATGTAGTTTGTTATATGTAGTTTGTTAATGTAGTTTGTTATATGTAGTTTGTTATATGTAGATTGTTATATGTAGATTGTTATATTAGTTTGTTATATGTAGTTTGTTATATGTAGTTTGTTATATGTAGTTTGTTATATGTAGTTTGTTATATGTAGTTTGTTATATGTAGTTTGTTATATGTAGTTTGTTATATGTAGTGTGTTATATGTAGAGGAGGCGACGAGGTGGTTATCAGTGAGATTGTTAAGGGTAACTGGTATTATTGTCGGTGACCGTGACTCAACCCCTGTGACCTGGTGTAGGTGACCACACTGTGTAGGTGTGTGTGTGTGTACTGGTGTACATGTATGTGTGTATACACAATGCGGGTGTATATATATACATATATACATACACGTATACACATACATACACACACATATACACATAAATACACACACACACACACACACACACAAAACACACAAAACACACACACACACACACACACACACACACACACACACACACCACACACAACGCACACACCCACACACACACACACACAACACACACAACACACACACACACACACAACACACACACACACACACACACACACACACACACACACACACACCCCACACACACACACACACACACACACACACACACAACGCACACACCCACACACACACACACCAAAAACACCCCACCCAACACACACCACACACACACACACACACACACACACACACACACACACACACACACACAACACACACACACACCACACACAACGCCCCACACCACACACACACACACACACACACACACACACACACACACACAACACACACACACACACACACACACACACACACACACACACACACACACACACACAACAACACACACACACACACACACAAAACACACACACACACACACAACCACACACACACACAACCAACACAACACACACACACACACACACACACACACACACACACTCAGAAATAACTTAACATTAAGGACATTTAACACTGTGTATAGACATAATTTAACATTACGTACCCAGTTAAACACAACACCGACATTTTAGCACAGATTAACCCAATTTAACATACAATATATACAATTTAAAGCAGTTTAACCCAGTTTAACACACGATATATACAATTTAACACACAACATAGAAAATTTAGCAGAGATTAACCGAATTTAACACAAACATAGACAACTTAGCGCACATCATAGATAATTTAACACAATTTAACACACAGCACAGACAATTTAACACAATTTAACGAAATTTAACACAAAACACAGACCATTAAACACAATTTAACATAGTTTAACGCTATGCATTGAATTTCCACACAATACTGACAATTTAACGCAATTAAACACCCAACGCAGAAAATTTAACACAGTTTAACCCAATTCAGCACGAAACAAGAGAATTTAACACAATTTACCATAATTTAACACAATATCAGATAGAATTTAACACCAAGTAAGAGCCAAAATTGTTAATGACGTCTGGGATATTAATTTAACTTCTCACAATTTTAACAAATTTAACTGGAAAAACAAGAGAATTTAACATCCTGGAAGACAGTTAACATTATCTTAACATTCCAGAATGTTAACTTTATTAACACACACAAAATTTAACATCCTTTGAGAGAGTTAACATCCCAGTTAACATTTAACAGTTAACACACAGAATTTAACATCCTGGACAACAGAAGCAGCTTGGCGTTATGTTACTGTTGTGCACAACAGTAGAGGCCCCACGGGTGCACAGCAGCTGCCTCCCGCTGGCACTAACAGTCTGGTGGACCCTAGGGCAGTAAAAAATTCTGCTAGGCCTGGTCTGGCAATAGGCCTATGGAAACAGTCAACAGGTAATGTACAGGTACACCTGAGAGAGACGTTGTAGGGGCGCTGACCCCCTAGTGTAAGGGGTTAAATCCGGGGTTTAACCTGTTGGAGGTTGTTAAACTCAGGGTTTAACCCCGTTATGGTTAATAAACCATGGGTTTAACCCCGTTATGGTTAATAAACCCAGGGTTTAACCCTGTTATGCATAATAAACCCAGGGTTTAACCCCGTTATGGTTAATAAACCCAGAGTTTAACCATGTTATGGTTAATAAACCCAGAGTTTAACCCCGTTGTGGGGTTAATAAACCCAGGGTTTATCACCGTTGTGGGGTTAATAAACCCAGGGTTTAACCCTGTTGTGGGTTTAACAAACCCAGGGTAACGGTAAGAGGTAGTTTTATCTGCGGTAATGGATCTCTGTAGAGCTCTTTCTGGAATATTCAGGACGAAAAGTGACTTGAAAGAGCTTTACATAGCGGTACACCTCTATAAAGCTCTACACAGAGCGAAACATGACTTGATAAAGCTCAACACAGCTTAACATGACTTGATAGAGCTCTGCATAGCTGAACACGATTGGTTAAAGCTCTACAGAGCAATAGATGCCTAGGTAAAGCTCTACACGGCGAAACATGTTTAGGATAAAGCTCTAGGTAGAGCTGAGCTCTCCCGATAAAATCCAGCTCTATCCTTACGTTCAATTTCTATTTTATTTTCTTACGCGTCACAAGGTCGTTCCGATATCCCGAATCCAAGCCAGGATAACCCGAATCCAAGCCAGGATAACCAGAATCCAAGCCAGGAGAACCCGAATCCAAGCCAGGATAACCCGAATCCAAGCCAGGATAACCAGAATCCAATGCCAGGATAGTATGAATCCAAGCCAGGATAACCTGAATCCAATGCCAGGATAACTCAAATCCAAGCAGGATAACTTGAATCAAAGCCAGGATAACACGAATCCAAGCCAGGATAGCACGAATCCAAGTCAGGATAACACGAATCCAAGACCAGGATAACAAAAACCCAAGCGGGGTGGCTTACTTTCACTTGAGACTTCGACTTGGCTTCAGAGACTTCGACTTGGCTTCAGAGACTTCGACTTGGCTTCAGAGACTTCGACTTGGCTTCAGAGACTTCGACTTGGCTTCAGAGACTTCGACTTGGCTTCAGAGACTTCGACTTCACGTGGAAGACTTCGACTCGGTCCTTCTTTAAGTATTTATTTTCCATTTGAGAAGCGTAAACATCGGTATCTCCTCTCGCACACACGACACTTCGAATTAGGGAGACGCGTGAGGGTTGTCGGTCTTGTTTACCTGGTCTGGGACCGAGGTAACAGAGAACATACACTCCACGCTTTTTCTCTCACCAAGACTTAATTAGTTTCCGCCTCGTTATCTCACGTTCAGTGATCTGATTTTGAGGATGTCTGAGAGTTTCACGTTCAGAGGCTTCGCACTGGCCAGGACTTCTGTCTTTCGTTGCTTATTCGTAACGTTCTTCGATGTTTTTACGTGCTTGAAGAAATCTGTACACAGTTTCTGTGTTTTCTTGACTTGATGATTCGTAACTAGCCGCTTCAAGCACTTGCTTCTTCTGCTACTGGAGGAGTGGCTGGTGGTTGAGGAGGAGGTGCTGATGGAGGTGGTGCTGTGAGGAGATGCTGTGGTTTTTGGGGTAAGGCTTGGGATTTGGTAGGCTTGAGGAACATTTTCATCCAGTGGCTTCCAGGAATAACGTCCTTCCAGCGGTGTCATCTCCTGGAAATCGAAGTTCCAGCGGCTGGAGTCTCTCTGACGAATCTTGACCATCTCTTCCTGCACGAACATGAGGCTGTGTTCGTGGTCTATGGGACCGAAGAGGCTTCTCCTGGTGTGGCCAATTCGGTCTTGGGTGTTCGTCGAACTGGGACCGAAGAGCTTCCTCCTGATGTGGCCAATTCGGTCCTGGGCATCGGTCGAACTGCCCAGGAGCTCACGTTGAGGCACCAGCATTGTGTCCATCACCAGTGGTACACACACATACACACTGTGGTTACTGTTCCCCAGGGGGCGGTAAACTCGTGCTGCAGCTGAGGCGGCTGTCGACCTGCAGCAAGCAGTGGACTGCTCTGCTATCCAGCGGTAAAATGTGGGCGGTCGTTGCCCTGTGCGCACGGATGGTTCACACAGCGGTGCGCTGTGACTAGCTCCCAGCCTCCAGCCACGGCAGCCAAAACTATTCTGACCAACGGGACGGCGCCGAGCCCAACGTAGGGGATAGGGGGTAGGAAGAGGAAAGGGGAGGGGAAGTGTGGGGGTGAGAGGGAAGAGGGGGGGAGAAAAGAAGGGGAGGAAAGAGGAAAGGACTGGGAGAGACCCAGGAAGCATTGTGTATACAGGGGAGAGGAGACGCACGTCCTGTTTTCGTCACTCAGGTGTTCATACTGAATTCAGAGCTCTAGATACAGGGAACTAGAGCGTCCCTGAAGCCCTATTACCTCCAACCGCCGTGGCGCTAACAGTTACGAGTTTAGAGAAACCAAAAATTGAGTGAACTTTTATACGAAGGAGGATATACCATTAGTGCGTTGGTACACTATTCCATACGATAGTTACATTGTGGGAACACCAGCAGTGTAGCTAGGCTATTCTATATGATAGTTACATTGTGAGAACACCAGCAGTGTTGCTACACTATTCTATATGATAGTTACATTGTGGGAACACCAGCAGTGTTGCTACACTATTCTATATGATAGTTACATTGTGGGAACACCAGCAGTGTAGCTACACTATTCTATACGATAGTTACATCGTGGGAACACCAGCAGTGTTCCTACACTATTCTATGTGATAGTTACATTGAGGGAACACCAGCAGTGTTGCTACACTATTCTGTATGATAGTTACATTGTGGGAACACCAGCAGTGTAGATACACTATTCTATGTGATAGTTACATTGTGGGAACACCAGCAGTGTAGCTACACTATTCTATGTGATAGTTACATTGTGGGAACACCAGCAGTGTTGCTACACTATTCTGTATGATAGTTACATTGTGGGAACACCAGCAGTGTTGCTACACTATTCTGTATGATAGTTACATTGAGGGAACACCAGCAGTGTTCCTACACTATTCTATGTGATAGTTACATTGTGGGAACACCAGCAGTGTTGCTACACTATTCTGTTGATTAGTTACATTGTGGGAACACCAGCAGTGTTGCTACACTATTCTATGTGATAGTTACATTGTGGGAACACCAGAAGTGTTGCTACACTATTCTATATGATAGTTACATTGTGGGAACACCAGCATGTGTTCTACACTATTCTATGTGATAGTTACATTGTGGGACACCAGCAGTGTTGCTACACTATTCTGTATGATAGTTACATTGAGGGAACAACAGCAGTGTTCCTACACTATTCTATGTGATAGTTACATTGTGGGAACACCAGCAGTGTTGCTACACTATTCTATATGATAGTTACATTGTGGAACACCAGCAGTGTTGCTACACTATTCTATATGATAGTTACATTGTGGGAACACCAGCAGTGTTGCTACACTATTCTATATGATAGTTACATTGTGGGAACACCAGCAGTGTTGCTACACTATTCTATATGATAGTTACATTGTGGGAACACCAGCAGTGTTGCTACACTATTCTATATGATAGTTACATTTTGGGAACAGCAGCAGTGTTGCTACACTATTCTATATGATAGTTACATTGTGGGAACACAGCATTGTTGCTACACTATTCTATATGATAGTTACATTGTGGGAACACCAGCAGTGTTGCTACACTATTCTATATGATAGTTACATTGTGGAACACCAGCAGTGTTGCTACACTATTCTATATGATAGTTACATTGTGGGAAACACCAGCAGTGTTGCTACACTATTCTATGATAGTTACATTGTGGGAACACCAGCAGTGTTGCTACACTATTCTATGATAGTTACATTGTGGGAACACCAGCAGTGTTGCTACACTATTCTATGATAGTTACATTGTGGGAACACCAGCAGTGTTGCTACACTATTCTATATGATAGTTAAATTGTGGAACACCAGCAGTGTTGCTACACTATTCTATATGATAGTTACATTGTGGGAACACCAGCAGTGTTGCTACACTATTCTATATGATAGTTACATTGTGGAACACCAGCAGTGTTGCTACACTATTCTATATGATAGTTACATTGTGGGAACACCAGCAGTGTTGCTACACTATTCTATATGATAGTTACATTGTGGGAACACCAGCAGTGTTGCTACACTATTCTATATGATAGTTACATTGTGGGAACACCAGCAGTGTTGCTACACTATTCTATATGATGGTTACAGTGGTGAAACATAGGTAATGTGGACAGTAATAGCCACGTTACTGTGTACCTCATATCCATCCTGTGGATGGTAGTGGCTAGTTTATTGTGTACCTCATATCCATCCTATGATGGTAGTGGCTAGTTTATTGTGTACTCATATCCATCCTTGGGATGGTAGTGGCTAGTTATTGTGTGCCTCATATCCATCCTGTGGATGGTAGTGGCTAGTTTATTGTGTACCTCATATCCATCCTATGGATGGTAGTGGTTAGTTTATTGTGTACCTCATATCCATCCTATGGATGGTAGTGGCTAGTTTATTGTGTACCTCATATCCATCCTGTGGATGGTTAGTGGCTAGTTTATTGTATACCTCATATCCATCCTGTGGATGTAGTGGCTAGTTTATTGTGTACTCCATTCCATCCTGTGGATGGTAGTGGCTAGTTTATTGTATACCTCATATCCATCCTATGGATGGTAGTGGCTAGTTTATTGTGTACCTCATATCCATCCTGTGGATGGTAGTGGCTAGTTTATTGTATACCTCATATCCATCCTGTGGATGGTAGGACACGATATGGACACAGAAAAGACCAGGTAACTAAGCCCCAAGTAACGTTATCACAATAAGTATCTAACGTACCATTGACCACACGGGAACGCTAGTAAGATAAGATAAGATAAGATGAGATTTCGTTCGGATTTTTAACCCCGGAGGGTTAGCCACCCAGGATAACCGAAGAAAGTCAGTGCGTCATCGAGGACTGTCTAACTTATTTCCATTGGGGTCCTTAATCTTGTCCCCCAGGATGCGACCCACACCAGTCGACTAACACCCAGGTACCTATTTGCTGCTAGGTGAACAGGACAACAGGTGTAAGGAAACGTGTCGAAATGTTTCCACCCGCCGGGAATTGAACCCGGGCCCTCCGTGTGTGAAGCGGGAGCTTTAGCCACCAGGCCACCGGGCCACGCGAGGAGTTAGAATGTAGATATCACGGCGCTAACAGAGACGAGGTTTGAGTTGAGGAGTCGGATTGAATTCCTCTCTGGGGGAATTAATCCCCAGTGTCATAAACAAAAGATGGGGGATTTAAATGGCATTCAGTATCCCTGACAACCCGTAAATCCTGGCGTAAAGACTGTTATAAAGACTGGGAATTGGAACGTTCTGACGCTGGTGGATCATCTTGGGACGTCCTGACGCTGGTGGAACATCTTGGGACGTACTGACGCTGGTGGAACATCTTGGGACGTACTGACGCTGGTGGAACATCTTGGACGTCCTGACGCTGGTGGAACATCTTGGGACGTCCTGATGCTGGTGGAACAATTTGGGACGTCTGACGCTGGTGGAACATCTTGGGACGTCCTGACGCTGGTGGAACATCTTGGGACGTACTGACGCTGGTGGAACATCTTGGGACGTCCTGACGCTGGTGGAACATCTTGGGACGTCCTGACGCTGGTGGAACATCTTGGGACGTCCTGACGCTGGTGGAACATCTTGGGACGTCCTGACGCTGGTGGAACATCTTGGGACGTCCTGACGCTGGTGGAACATCTTGGGACGTCCTGACGCTGGTGGAACATCTTGGGACGTCCTGACGCTGGTGGAAACTTCTTGGACGTCCTGACGCTGGTGGAACATCTTGGGACGTCCTGACGCTGGTGGAACTTCTTGGGACGTCCTGACGCTGGTGGAACTTCTTGGGACGTCCTGACGCTGGTGGAACTTCTTGGGACGTCCTGACGCTGGTGGAACATCTTGGGACGTCCTGACGCTGGTGGAACCTCTTGGGACGTCCTGACGCTATTGGAACATCTTGGGACGTCCTGACGCTGGTGGAACATCTTGGGACGTTCTGACGCTGGTGGAACATCTTGGGACGTCCTGACGCTGGTGAAACATCTTGGGACGTCCTGACGCTGGTGGAACATCTTGGGACGTCCTGACGCTGGTGGAAACATCTTGGGACGTCCTGACGCTGGTGGAACATTTGGGACGTCCTGACGCTGGTGGAACATCTTGGGACGTCCTGACGCTGGTGGAACATCTTGGGACGTCCTGACGCTGGTGGAACATCTTGGGACGTCCTGACGCTGGTGGAACATCTTGGGACGTCCTGACGCTGGTGGGAACATCTTGGGACGTCCTGACGCTGGTGGAACATCTTGGGACGTCCTGACGCTGGTGGAACATCTTGGGACGTCCTGACGCTGGTGGAACATCTTGGGACGTCCTGACGCTGGTGGAACATCTTGGGACGTCCTGACGCTGGTGGAACATCTTGGGACGTCCTGACGCTGGTGGAACATCTTGGGACGTCCTGACGCTGGTGGAACATCTTGGGACGTCCTGACGCTGGTGGAACATCTTGGGACGTCCTGACGCTGGTGGAACATCTTGGGACGTCCTGACGCTGGTGGAACATCTTGGGACGTCCTGACGCTGGTGGAACATCTTGGGTCGTCCTGACGCTGGTGGAACATCTTGGGACGTCCTGACGCTGGTGGAACCTCTTGGGACGTCCTGACGCTATTGGAACATCTTGGGACGTCCTGACGCTGGTGGAACATCTTGGGACGTCCTGACGCTGGTGGAACATCTTGGGACGTCCTGACGCTGGTGGAACATCTTGGGACGTCCTGACGCTGGTGGAACATATTGGGACGTCCTGACGCTGGTGGAACATATTGGGACGTCCTGACGCTGGTGGAACATATTGGGACGTCCTGACGCTGGTGGAACATCTTGGGACGTCCTGACGCTGGTGGAACATCTTGGGACGTCCTGACGCTGGTGGAACATCTTGGGACGTCCTGACGCTGGTGGAACATATTGGGACGTCCTGACGCTGGTGGAACA